GCCTCGGGTTGGTTGTATTTATAGACGTGGGAAGGTTTTCTAGAAAATTCAGATTACGTAACAATACTGAGCTACATTTACCTGTTTACATATATGCATATATTGCTGATTCTTACTTTCAAGAATCTTCTACAACTTTGGAGAATAGGCGGGAGTTTCGCAATACACATTTAACACTATAAGCTACGCATGTTTTAAAATATAAACTTAATCTAAACAAACCTTGATATTAAAATAAATATATAATAACAAATTCATTACATATGGCTGAACAGTTCTTGGCACGAGAGAGGACAAACTCTAAAGTTTAAATAGGCATTCAAGGAGAGGTGTTGTAAACTAAATTTTTAACGTTGTAATTTAAATGTTAGCTGGTAGGAGATGCGGGTCTTAATGGTGATTAAGATCAGAAGATTTAATAAGATAGGCCTAGAACATCTAAAAACCGTAAAGTGATATAAAGTGTTCTAGTACATTCAAAGCTAGATTATAAATACGAGATGGTTGTTAAGTGTGTAGAGTGATTTTATCATAGAAAGTGAAAAAGCCAGTGTATTAATTATCGCGCTTACTCTGTACAAATAAGTTGATTGATTTTATGCTAGTTAGCATCATTTGTAACGTAGGCCTAAATTAATTTGTGGCAGTTTACAATTATTCAAGTTTTTAGAAAAGTTAAAGAAGGGAATAAAGTGATTTATTATTGTTATATGATCTCAGAATTTGAACTGATTTTTCCCGATTAACTTTAAAAGAACCCACCAATGTAAAAACTATCCTACAACATTATTATAAATTTTCGGGTCACAGTTTAGAGATAGAATATTGCCCTTACAAACTTAAGAGCTACATGAATTTATTGTAAATACAATAGCTTGAAAACGCTAAGTAACTAATTTTCTTATAAATAGATTGTTCAAAATGTGGACCACTTCTGCCGTTTACCTTATGGTTGTTTTAGATTTAAAAGTAATTTTAGTAATTAATGTTTGCAATTTTAGAAACTCAAGCAATAATCAGAAATAGAGAAAGCCCATCAGATATTGTATACACATTACTCACACAAGCATACTGATTTTGCTAGATCTTCCTTGTGTATTGGGTTGTGGCTCTTTCAGAGTACATCTTTACGAAAACTTATATAAAACTACAAATGATTCTTGAACGTGTTTAGTTGCTGAACAGCTCACAAGTGTACCGTAAATGTCGCCGTGAGCCCTCTTGGACATAAATGACCTAATTTCAACGTGATCTCACAGTGCACACTTTGGTCGAATTTGTCAGACAAAACTTGGGCCTTGTACTCTCTGTCGGAAGAATATTGTGCTCATTGCTTACAAAGCAAAGATCACGTTATTAAAGTTGTATTCTCGAAGTACATCGAAAATTATGATTAATGTCTTTTCAGTAATTTAAAATATTTCTGGATGTTCTCTAAAACACTATAAGTATTATAATTTAAATTATAAACAACACTTTAGTTTTAAAATGTATTTAGCGTCACCTAGTGCCATTTATAAGTAATTAAGATCCCTCTTCATTTTTAGTTACCGTCTGTACGCAAGTGTATTTAATGGCTCATGTTTTGTAGAGTAGTGGAATATTGTTTGCTTAAAAAGTAAACGAATTCTATTTCTTGAATACTAAGTTTAAAGCAGACCGAAAATGGCTGCTGGTATAAGCTGTGCGTTACGAAGAATTATATCCACTGCCGCGACCCTTAGCCAAGGACATTTAAAATATGGAGCGTCTTTGAATTTCGTAAGGTCAGAATTTTAGTATTGATTGTTATTATTCATTTTATTGTTTTATTTTAATACTGAGTTTTAATTTGTACCTCTCAGAGCTAGAGTCATGTTGCTAACTTTCTAACCAAATTATAGATATACATTATAATTTAAAACTTTCTGACAACTTAGTGTTAAGGTACTACTACTACTAGGTAATAATACTAATACTAGTATACTCTAATTTTTCTTAGTTTAATATTAATCTCGGTTTCATTAACATTATTAGTTAGAATGTTTAATATATCGTGTTTTGTTATCTTGATATTTTTATCATTATACTTTTATTATAGAGATTCTTTTGCTATTGTTACTGTTAGTTTAGTATATCATATAGTGTATGGTTTTAAGATGCGTCTCCTAAGCTACCCAAACCATGTTATATTAATACAGTTATTAAGGTTTATTGCCGAAATTATTGTTAACAGCAAAGTTACTCAACTGTTGAAGCAATGCTTTCTGATTTTTATAAATAGGAATGTAAGAAAGTTTATTTAATTAGCTATATTCATTACTATGTTGATTTTTAGTTTTAATATAAGAAGGCAGCTTGATTTGATTAGAAATGAATAATTACTAACTAGTACTAATAGTAGTAGTAATATGTCAGGTATTGCTGGTGTTTAGCATTTTTTGGACTGTGACTGCGAGGTTCATTGTTCACAGTCTATAGCCATAGAAACATGCTCCATAGTTGAGGCCTTGGATGTGATCTAGTCTAAGAGCAATAATCAAGTCTCATTATTTGGTCAGACAGTAGTACCATTACTAGTAGTAGTAGATCAAGAATGGATGCTGTTGATTAGTTGCTATCTCTCTTTCTAATTCTAGTCTTATCATTTTGAAATTAGGGATGACTATCTGCAGATAGCTCTTGTGTAGGTTTGCATTAAAATTATGAAACAAATTAATTAACAATAGTTACATATTTTTTACAGCTGCCCTTGTTCAAATTCTTCTACACAAGTTGTAGAAGCTACTAAGTAGTAAGGTATCATAAATTAATACAATAAATAGTGGTTAGTGCTACAAAGCATGCAGCAGTTCTGTCGTACAGATAAGTATTAGTGAGATAAACTTATTGAAGAACAATAGAAACTTAAGAGTGCAGAAAACATCACTTGTATAAAGGATCAAATTATAATCACTTTGGTAAGCCTTTTTGTTTGAGTTTCTTCTTACTCTTCCCTTTCCTTGGATTTTTGAATGCTTTGATTCAGGTTTCAGTTTGGTTGATGATGTCTTAGTGCTTCAAGATCTTGGACAGTAAGTAGTGTAATTGTAGTGATATATTCAACTTGTCTGCATTCTAAGTCTACAATTGTTTTCAATTTTGTCAGTTGCAGAGTTTCACTGTTATGGCCTTACAGCTGGTAGAGATGAAGCTGATGAATAGATAAATCTGAATTTACATGTTCCTGTTTTTTGGTTCTCAAGGAAACGAAAGGCTAAATATCTATGATAGTTTCTTCTTGGTTATAAACATCTTAATGCTGATTGGCCCTTTGATCTTTACCAGTTGATGCAGACTCGCCTATGATTTTCCAAAATCTTGTTTTATTCCTAGGAAGCATAATTTTGCATTTTGATTCCAGAATCATTCCAGACATTGGATATTATGCTCTCCTGGTAAATTGCAAGTCAAACTGAAGACAAATGTATACATTTAAAACATATTTGAAAGCTTGATAAACTGTTAAGAGATAAATTTGTAAATCTAAACAGCATGTTTATTTTACTTCACATTTTTTGAAGGAAAATTAACTCTTTCTTTCTCTCCATATTTCACTTCCATACACAATTAACTAAACAATTCTACATTTTCCAACCTCTTGAATTATCTAAGAATGTTTCAGTGAAAACGAAATACATAAATATCAACAAACAAGCAAATCATTTGTGACTACATGATTAATAAAAAAAGAAAAAAGTTAAAAATCCATCCAAAGTTATGAAGGAATAAATAATATGGAATGGGCATTGCAAGATCCTTGTAATTAAAGGCATTTGTAGTTAAAGCATTCAGTACTACAGTGGTATACATACAGAAGCCAATGTAGCTTATAAGAACCATTTTTTATACTGGTGATATCAAGTGAGCATCTAGCATGTTGAGAAGAAGTTGCTCTATGAGATAGAAAAATATTTTAAAACATACCAGTTTCAGTTTTGATTTGTCTCTGCTCTGAATCAAAACAACATTATTGGCTACTGCATAATGCTGCTCTTTGGGCACAGAACAAAGTATATGTGGCATTTGTTTTCAATGTGCATTTATTGCTGAAAATGCTACTTTTCACGTGACATATAGTTTTTGCAAGTAAAGCAATATCTGGTTTGAACATGGTACTTATAGTTTAAAAGTGAAATGTCACCCAAGCCATTTCAAATTCTATCCAAAAATGTATTTTACAAGATAGACACATTTCTTGATATGTATGTTACTGTGAAAATGTGTAAACTTTTAGAATTCATTTCAATGTCACTATCTTCATGATAATATGCATTGGCATGCTTTGCATTTATGACAATAAAATAAGAGTACTCTACTGTTGTTCAATTCCTTTCATGTGTTGGCAGCCTGTAAATCTCATAAAAAAA